TCTCACTACTCTGATTCAGAAGAATCACTGCTGACAGAATCTTCCAAATTTATAGTATCCAAATCACAAGTAGATGAAATATCCTCACATATAAGATATTTCTCTACATCATTTTCTAATATGTTACTTTTTCGCGTTGTTACTGTTCTTTTTGTTGGTATGAGGGGTTCGGATGTTAATAGTTACCTCTTTAATAGACCACATCCATATATTATTTTTTCGTTTTCTTGGGTATGAGGTTTTATAATAAATTGAAAGATGGAAACTTTTTTTATGCCACGTTTCGCTCCAACATTATGGGCTTTTTCGGGCACAAGTGGTTGTTTCATTGGACTGGAAGGTTCATCAATATCTAATAAGGAACACCTTTTTTGAAATACAAATAATTTTGAGTTCTTGTCCTTATGATCAAGCCAAGTATTAACCAGATCGGCATTGCTTATCAATTTTACTCCATCTGAAAAGTATTATAAAAAGTTCGTCGCAAGCAGACGCAGGTGAACTATACAAAAATTAAAAGTGTATGAATATGACAACAAAAATATTCAATAAATACGATATGTTTTGATATGTTTTTTTAGTGCCTTTTTGAAGTTTGAAAACGTAAAATTTTTATACCCATTTAAGAATCATCTTAAAAAATAAATAAAAACTAAACAATCACGAACTTGTTTAGAAATAAATTTAAAGTACGTACCTTCTTTAACAATATCCATAGTGGCTGTCAACTAAGTACGTACTGTTTAACTCCATATACAGAACTACTATGAATGTTATTCTTTTCATTGATATAAGATAATGATCGCAAAATTTATTTTTGGTGAAAATATTTGCTAACAAATAACGCTGTTTATGAAAAATAATATACAGGATGGTTGAACATTGCTATAAGTATAAAATTACATATTCAGATATTAGTAAATTTTAACTTTTTTTTAGATTTTTGTCCATGGGACGAAGCACTGTGCGCCGCGCCGTCTCGACAGTAAGCATGCATTATGTATATATATACCCAAATCTCTTCTATCTACCAAAATATCTTTACGGTGAGCTTGTAGACGATAGGAGGAAACCGGGTGGACAACTCAAAAAGTACAAGGATATTTTCCTCGAAAACTTAAAGGGGATAAGCATCTAGAATCAGTGGGAAGAAGCAACGCACAATAGAAAAAATGTAAATTCAGTTACAGCGACAACCAAAAAGTAAAGAGGCGACGAAGCAATGAGATGTTTGAATGTCCGAAGTACGGAATAGAGATAAAATCACGTTTCGGACTTTTCAGTCACAGAAAAGCTCATGAAAAAAAACGCCTTGCGTAACCATCTTCTGATGCGTGTCAAATACTCCTGGGCGAGTAATGGTAGTAGTGGTAGTAGTAATCACTATCGTAAATAAGGTAAGGTATTTCTCTTAGCCTTTCCCTGTCTTTTTTTATATACAAAAATGTTATTATCCTACCTGAATAATTTCAAACGTTTAGTTTGATGACATTTTAGACTAATATACAGGGTGGCGCACCTCATTCGCCTCGGTTGATTATACGAAAACGGAAAGATGTAGAAACAAAATATTTTATGGGTACCTACACGTGGGAAGGCAATGCGCACAATTTAAAATTATTTTGAAATATACAGTTACAGAACCAATATCCACACCAAGTTATATTTTTTTCTTATGGGGCAACCAGTATTTTATTTCATATTTGGATCCTTGGACAAAAAATAAGGTATTTATTATAAGGGTTAAATATGTTTACAGGCTTCAGTTTTTGAGATATTTAAAAATATTTAAATATGCATGCTATAATAAAAAAAAATATCAACACCCTGTACATTGTTTTGAGAATTAATTCATATGCTGCCTATTAAGCCAGAAAACTAAACTTTACTGAAAAATTTGATTGCTTCGTGTAATGTATACAGGAGTATAAAAAATTGCTGGTCTATTATAAATATTTATTTTACATAAAAACTTTGTTATTTCAAATACAACACCCTGTATTTTTTTAAATAAGCCGAAGCAGATTTAAATGCTCTTTCAAACTATATTAGGACTTAGGGTCTCCTATACCTATCTAGCTCAGATTTTGAATAAAGAGCAATTTTTCAATAAAATAGCAACCAAGAAGGCTGACGTCGCGCGTCGTTATGGTAAGTTTCTAATGACAGTTAATGTATATTTTCAAAATCGAAATTAGTTTATGGATTTTATTTAGATTTATAGCAGTATGCATTTTTCTATCAAGTAAAGCGGGGAAGTAGTTATTTGACTTATTCTACGATTACTTGTAGATATATGGATTTTCTATTAACGAGCTCATTACGGCAAATTCATTTTCTTAACTTTCAACGACAGACTTCTGCCTAATAGGTTTTTTTATAAACCACACTACCAGCTCTGCGAAATAGGACAAGTAATTTTTCGAAGGAACGCCTATCAGGAAGATTCCTTTCTGAATATCTTTGAGCATAAGACCTTCAGACCAAGAAACAATATTCCTCACAAAATAAAATCACTACTAACATATCCTATAATACCCTTATATCCTATATTAACCCTTATAATAAATACCTTTTTTGTGACCAAGAATCCAAAAATGAAATAAAATACCGGGTATTCCATAGGAAAAAATATAACTTTGGTAGGAATCTTAGTTCTGAAACACCCATATTTCAAAATAATTTTAAATTGTGCACATTACCTCCCCACATATACCCATAAAATATTTTGTTTCTACATCTTTCCGTTTTCGTATAATCAACCGAGGCGAATGAGGAGGGCCACCCTGTATATAATATAACAAATTTAGTTTAGTTTAAGATACATTTAAACCAATTTAGTAATAATTCCTATTAATTTTGTTTTAGAAGGGTTTTAGGTCGATGCTTGGTATCCAAATTCTATTTCAACTTATTCACTTTTCCTATGCAACTCATACGTAAAAAATATCAATATGTATAGTACTTTTACTTTATATACATTAATATAATATGTATTCACGGTACTTAATTCCTTATTTATTAACTTACATGAAAGGTGAATCCAAGTTAGTTACAATTTGCTATTTAACCTCATCGTCATAAATCACAATCATGGTTGGAATTAAAGGTAGGTAGGTCCACATCCACATACAACAGAAACACAGTGTAGTAATAATAATAAGTCAGTGATCTTATTGACAAGCAATTTGAATTTTTACTTTTATTGCAGTTGCCTTGCATTAAATGTAATGTATAGGTATGCTACAGGGTGAGTCAACGATAAAGTTTATTAGGTACTTCGTTTTTTGAGAATTATGAAAACATTTAAAATAGAAAAGTTTTAGGGAATATTAGAATATGTTTTTTGAATATACAAAGTGTTTCAAAAAAGTGTGACCGATATAACATTTTTTTTAAATGTTATGTCCGCCCAAGGATACTATAGAGATAAGGATAGTTCAATTCCTATCTTCCTGTACTGTCAGTTTTTTTACGTTTTCTAGGGACCGAGTTGAAGTTCGCGCTAAAGATTTTAGACAGTGACAGTTATTTTTGCGTTTAACGGACGAGCGCACAGTGCGGCGGAAGATAAATCTATCGGGACAAAACCGTTTGGTTAGAAATAAGCCAAAAATGTGTACTGATAAGAATAGACATTCCAATTGATATGAAAATGCATGAATTATATTTTTTAGTCGTATATATTCTTTGTATTTCGATACATTTTTATCAACCAACCATATAATATCGCTCCTATGATCTTGTCCCGCTAGAATAACCAACCGCCGCACTGTGGAGCGTTGGTCCCTGCGTGACGTAAGCATCCACGGTGACTACGATAGCGGCGATTTGACGCGATCGAACAGTCCTTTAGAATATAATATACAGTCCTTGATGTCCGCCATAAAACAAATATTATATTTTTTGTTTACTTTTTACGATTATCCTGAAATTAGATAGTCTATACTTACTGTGCTATAAATATCGTTATTTTAAATCATACAGGGTGGTCAAAATTCTACTCCAAACTTTCTGAAGTATAAAATAATTTTCCTTTGTGTTTTTTAAATGGAACACCCTGTATATTATTTTTTTATTAGATGGAGAGTTAAAAAATGAACATTGTTGTGTGTTTAAAGTATTTCAAAATTTTTAATGGTTTCGCAGATACACGTAATAATATATCATATGGCTCTTTCAACAGTAAAATAAGAGAATAATAATACAGGGTGGCCCATCGAAAACGTTCCGCAAGGCATAACAGCCAGGGTATTTTTTTTTCGAAAAATCCAAAAACACGTCAATTTTGTTTGTGAGGGGGACAACTTTTGCCCCATAAATGATTGCAAAATCTTCAACCCTCTAAGCGGGGGTGTCATCCCCCAACTTTTTTCAAATGGGAAGGGGGGTCAAGTGACGTCGCAATGAAAAGGGCTTTCTATTCTCTATATTTCCCCGCTTCGTTTTTAAAAATCGGTCTAGTCATTTTAAAAATATGAAAGACTGAAATTTGAAAAGTACTGTTTTTGCAAAAAACGCATAAATTGAATTAATTAAAAAAAACTTATCTTATTAATGAAGAAAATGCTGAAAATGTTGCCCGTCAACCTCCATACAGTAATACAAATTATTTTCAACCCGTTCTATAACATTCTGAAGAACTTGCGGGGTCACTTCGCAACAAACATCAATAATTCGTTTTCGCAGGTCTTCTAATGAGGCGGGTGGTGAATACACTTTACTTTTTATGTGTCCCCATAGAAAAATGTTTAAAGGAGTCAAGTCGGGTGACCGGGGAGGCCACTCAATTGCACCCGTTCGTCCTATACACCGAACGGGAAAGTTATTGTTTAAATAATTACGTACATTTTGAGAGTAATGTGGAGGTGCACCGTTTTCTTGAAATATTAGTTCCGCTTCAACGTATCCAGGATTGTTCTCTATGATTTCAGTTAGGGCTGGGTCGATGGTATTTTCCAGTAAGGTTAAAAAAAAATCTAAAATACTCCGAAGAAAGCATGACAAATGCTTTATCGGACGTTAGAAGCGGAATGTCATATAGGGCTGCGTGTCTAAAACATGGGATTCCCCGAATAACACTTATGCGGAAACATAAGAGAAACTTACCTGCTAAAACTAAAATGGGCCCTAAAACATCATTTAGTGAAGAGCAAGAGAATATGTTAGCTTACTGGATTCTTACTATGTCAAAAGCTGGTTTTCCTCTTTCCAAAGAAACCTTTATGTATAGCGTTAAAAAACTGGCAACTGAATATAACATTAAGTTTGGCGGGAAAACAACTCCAGGTAGAAAATGGTATAATTTATTTTGTGCAAGACATCCAAATATTTCCCTAAGAACAAGTCAAAATTTAACTACAAGTAGACGTTTAGTATCAGAGGCAGAAATATCAAACTGGTTTCAGGAAGTAAAAAGTTATATTGATCAAAATAAACTAACCACTATTTTAGACAACCCGAGGCGGGTCTTTAATACTGACGAGACTGCTTTCTTTTTAAATCCTAAACCAAGTAAAGTACTAGCTCAAAAAGGAAGTAAAAATATCTATACTTCAGCAGGAACTGATGAGAAGGAAAACATTACAGTGCTGCTCACTGCTATTGCAGCTGGTCAGTTAGCACCACCTATGATAGTTTAGCGTTTTGTCAGAATACCATAAAACATCGCAGCTGTAATGCCTAGCGAATGGGCGATAGGGAAATCTGAAAATGGTTGGATGATTCAGGAAATATTTTTCGAATATATATGCAATATTTTCTTGCCGTGGGTCAAAAAAGAAAATATATCCCTTCCGGTAATTTTTTTTACGGATGGACACTCCTCCCATGTATCTCTTCCTTTAAGTAAATTTTGTCACAAAAATGGAATAGAACTGATTGCACTCTACCCTAACGCTACGCATATCTTACAGCCTATGGATGTTGCAGTTTTTCATACAATGAAAACTGTATGGCGACAACAATTGCAAAATTGCAGGATGCAAAATGGGGGAAAACAGGTAGACAATGCAGAGTTCCCAAAAATATTAAGAAATGAATTTTACCTCATGTTACGAAAAATTTTACCTTATGTTACACCAAAAATAATAGAAAATGGATTTAAGAAATGTGGGTTGGTTCCTTGGGACCCAACCAAGTTAAGCTTCCGTTCCCATCTAATAATAATCCGAAAACTACTCATGCGCCAAACAATTTGGAACTGGAAACGTTCCTTAATTTATTAGAAAAACAAATTGGAGTAGAGAAAGTTCAGGCTTTTTAAGAAACTAACGAAAATTGGGAAGGTGCAATAGAAGATAAATCATTATATGAACTGTGGAAAAAATCTAATATGAAAGTAAATTCTAAAAAGAACAACGATATAGAAGAACCACCACAAAAAATCCATCCAAATGCATCTCCGCAAAATCGAAATAGTGATGAATTGCACAACCAACATACACCAGTAAAGCAGATTTGTCAAAACTTCTCCACCAATTCTTCTCATACGCCACCAAGCTTTCCATCCACCTCGACTGGAATAACACAATCTAACACTGGGATAGTGTTAGATTGTCTTGTGTAATCTGATGTTTATATACCAACACCATTTAAAAAAAACTTAACCTGGCCATTAGCTCACACATATCCTAAGAATAAAAGAGTTAAGGTAAAAATACCCGCGGTTGTAACTTCACCTCAAATGATTCAATATCTGCATAAAAAAAAGGAACTAAAAAAGAAAAAGGAAGAAGAGAAACAAAAATGGAAGCAGCTACGAGAAGCTAAAAAACTTGTCATAGAAGAAAAAAAGAAAATGGCTGCAGAAGAAAAGAAAAAACGTAAAAGACAGCTATCCAGTTCCAGTGAATCAATTATCTCAATGGATGAAGCAATGATTCTGAAATAGAGGAAATTAATGTTAATGATCATAATGAAGAAATAACGCAAGATATTAGAAATGTTAATAAAGATGATTTAAAAGAGGGTGATTTATTATTAGTTAAATTTATGGGAGGAAAAAGAAATACAACCGAATTTATTTACTTATGCGTAGTAGAAAATTTAGATGATTTAGTTGACGACATGGTACAAGTGATGGGTTTAAAGAGAGTTGATACCGCTAACAAGGAATTTGTGGTAGATGAAAAAGATGTTTCAAATATTCTTTTTAACCAAATTCTCGGCATTGTTTCACACCCGGAAATATTACTTAAAGGAGAAAGATTTAGATATATTTTTAAACATCCATTAAATGTTAAAGAGATGTAATGTAATAATATTTTTTAAAAAAGGTTTTTGATTGTATTTTATATACTTAGAATTTTTTTAAAATAAACTTATTGATTTTATTAATTATTGTTTTTGTTGATTAATGGTTGGCATTAATAATGTTCACTATTGGTGGGTCCACTAATGGACAAACATGAAAATGCTATGTTCATTACTGGGTAACCCGCAGTGGCTCACTAGTTTTTAATTTCTTAGTGTATAAATACTACTTAATCAATAGTGAATATTTTTTCATAAAAACAGGCCTTGAAACTGTCCATTACCATGCTCAAAATATTTTTCCTGGCGTTTAATAGGCTGTAACAATAAAATATATCCTTAAAATGTCCGCTTTTAGTGCACTTACCTTACATATCACCTGTTAGATTTCCAGGAAGAAAAAAAGGACTCACAATATAATTTCTAAAAATACCAGCCCACACATTCAATTTCTTAGGGTTTTGTGTGTGCACCTCGTGAAAATCCCTGGGGTTGTCCTCAGCCCAGTACCGACAGTTGTGCCGATTAACTACACCTTTCAAAAAGAAAGTACACTCTACCTAACCCGTTCATCCTTGTGGCAAGTGAAAAAATGCGTAAATATCTAGAAATAATAAGAAAAAACAGCAAATTGGTCGTAGGAATTTATCCTTATCATTTACTCTGATAAATGTTTAAATAAACTTTTCAAATTTCAATCCTTCATATTTTCTCAATGGCTCGACCGATTTTCAAAAACGAAGCGGGAAAGTATAGAGAATAGAAAGCCCTTTTCAATGCGGTACCACTTGACCCCCCTTCCCATTTGAAAAAAAATGGGGGATGACACCCCCGCTTAGAGGGTTGAAGATTTTGCAATCATTTTTGGGGCAAAAATTGTCCCCCTCACAAACAAAATTGACGTGTTTTTGAATTTTCTGAAAAAAAAAATTACCCTGGCCGTTATCCCTTGCGGAACGTTTTCGATGGGCTACCCTGTATATGTATAATCATTAGGTGGCTTTGATTTTACTGTGGAACCATATGAAATATAAAAGCGCGAATATCTGCGAAACCGTTAAAAATTTTGAAACACTCTAGATACAAAAAAATGTTCATTATTTAATTCTCCATCTATTCAATAAATGATATACAGGGTGTTCCATTAAAAAAAACGAAGAAAAAATTATTTTACATTTTAGAAAGTTTGGCATGGAATTTTGAACATCCTGTATGATTTACAATTACCATATTTAAAACAAAATAAGAACAGACCATCTAAAGTAAATACCTAATATAGATTTGCTTTCATCTTGTATTTTTAATAATTTTTTTAAGAAAGTCTGAAAAATAGATTTTTTTAATTTATTTATTAATGCCTCTCGAACTAACGAAATATTTTTACTCATATCTTAGGATTATGTAAAGTGATCTCAAAGAAAGCCAAAAATGCAATAATATACAGGGTGCCCGATTAAAAAAAATTATCCCGATCCACTCATAGTTTTTTGAGCCATCCTATAGAAGTTAAAATATTTTCCTGAAATACATCCAAGTGCATACTTGAGGTTTGCATTTAAACAGAATTCCCAAGTTTTTTATTCTAGGAGCTAGTTTTTTATGCCCGACGCACTTTTACCGGACCCTGTATATAAAAGAGGAGAATAAAATAAAGAATTTTATGCAGAATAAAATAAATAAAAAAATAGTATATTAATTATATTAAAAGAATGTTATATTCGCTACATTTTTTTGAGGCACCTTATTGGGTGTTGAAAAATAATTTTAAACTAGATGTCTTAAGATTCCCGAGAACTTTTCTATTTAACTTCCTAGTAATTCTCAAAATAAATGAAATTATTAATCACCCTTTACACAAAGAGAAAGATAATAGGAATCGCTTTTTAGTCTTTTTATCTATGCCTTTACATATTTTAAACTGAGTTAAGAACCTTCGTAATATTGTCAAGAATCTTTAATAATATTTTTATTTTTTCCCAGTCCCAATTTCATTTTCAAAATCTTTAGCTGACAAAAATAGCTACCTACTGTTAAATTACCTGCACAATTTTTTATAGTTTATTGAATATATTCTGTCATTTACAATAAACTACTTTAAAATTAAGTTTAATTTATCGTAGATAATTATTATCTAGCAATCACAAAAAGAGAAATTACAGATTTTTGAACAGGCATTTTTATAATAATGTTAGAAATTAAAAAAGAAAAAGTATTATAAACAATTGCCTCTTTTTACCGTGTAACCAGGGACATTATAGTACCTATTAATTAAACAAATATTTAGAGGGTCTAAAGTTTTAAAAATGAAAAATACTGATTTTTTTTACAAAAAGTATTACTTTATAGTTTTTATTAGTTTTTTATTTTTTTATATATTAAACTGTGATGTTTGTACGTTACAAAATAAATTAATTTATCGTATTTGAACGTATGCAACCAGAAAAACATCACCTATTAGATATTAAATTATAATTAATTTTTTATATAATTTTAACTACATAATATATACTGCTATAATCACAATAAAACAAGTAATAGCGAAGTAGAACACTGCACAGAACTTGCAATTATATCATTCAATAATATAATTATTATCACTGCTTATTATAAAAGTGATTATAAATATAAATCTTGTCTGCTTTTATTATAAACGACTTTTCATCTTCAAAATGCAGATATTCTTGATAATTCTGTTCTTTTGCGTGATTCGAATCACTGTTCCGTTCAGAATGCTGTGATTCGCGTGAATCAGATGATTTTGAACATGTCAAATGAGTAATTTTTATATTATGCAAACTAGAAGTGTTTCTTGTAAATTTTTTATCAGTTTCTTTAGACCTTCTTTCTTCGGTTTGTTTATCACCTTTGTTTATCACTGAATTTTGAGAAAATCTTTCATCTGCAATTAAATTTCCCAAATTCCCGGGAACTGTGAATTCCTTTTGAATCAAAACATTTTCTACATTACTGCCTGATTTAGAATTGCCATCTTTAGCACTCTCTTGATTGTTATATTTATTAAGAATTTTTTTCTTGTAACATAAAGGTCCTGGTTTCACAAACTGAAAAAAAAACAATATTTTATATAAATAAAAACAAAATTCAGCACAATAAATGTTACTTTGATAAATGCAAAACAAATGCCTATTAATTTGGGAAACCTTGTTAAACCCAAAATACACAAACCAGACATAAAAAGAGCAAAATGCTAGGTTGTCATTTATTTATAAAAAGTGTTATTATATTATAATATATTATTATAGTATTTCATTAAATTATAAAAAGATGATTTTGTCACTATTATTACATAATATTTACAAATAGGTATGGATTTTTATATATCGATGGATTTTTATTAATTTGTCTATGTATCAATAATTCATAAAAGCTGGATTGAAAAATTGGATTGAAAAGGATTGAAAAATCATATACCGGGTGTTTCTCAAAAGTAGCTCACCATAAATCAGGATTGATTGACGTATCCAATAATTGTTTTCGGTCACTTCCTGTTTCACCGGAAATGACTGCCACTTTTGATTTTCAAATGACACCATCCGTATTTTTTTTTACTTTATTCGATAGAAAATGCCACTCTAATAGAATGTCATATCATAATGTCAACTTTTGACATTTTCGCTTAAAAATCGTATTTTAAATTTCAATCTAGAGTGCAATGGGTGTGTTAAAAACACTAATTTTTAATCAAGGAGCCTTGGAATAATAGATTTGATCGTCTAATGTTTTTCGTGTATTGTCCTAGCCGGGTAAAAGACACCCAAATCGTATTTTTAATCGTATCTCAATTATTACATAGCATATTTGAAAAAAGCATTTTTTTGTGAATAATTGGTACCACACTTGGTATTTCTAGTCAAATTGTCGTTAGATTTATGACCATGGCACTCTAAATTGAAATTTAAAATGTGTTTTTGAAGTGGTGTCATGGGGAAAATACTGTTGCGGTTAGTATTTGCTATTTATATAGGGTGGTTCATGACGATAGTACGTGTTAGACCTTTATCTTCTATTTTTTATTTTTAAAACACCGGTTTTTTTAATATTTAGATTTCTACATAAAAGCACTTGTACGTTAGATGTTTATGGAGAACCGGCGATATAGAATTTATTTTGAAAATTTCGATTTTGATTTGGAATTTTTTAAAAAGTTTCAAATAATTTTTTTTGGACAATCATTTTATTGTAGAAAACTTATTATCATTTTTAAAATTTACATGAGATTTCCTATGTCCGAGTCAGCGATGCAACAGACTGTATAATTAATATGTTAGTTATAACGAATATGTTTTTTGAGAAATAAAATATATTTTATGGTTTTAACTGTCACTTCTTTGGAAAAGTATGTAACTTATAAAGATTACATACACATTTATTTGAACCCCGGTATACGGGATTCTCTGATGGAGAATATCTTAACAATCTGAGATTCGCTGATGACATAGTCCTAATTGCCAATAGTCCTGAAGAACTACAAGCGCAAATTATCGAACTAAATACAGCCAGCAATGGAGTCAGTCTCAAAATGAATTTAGCAAAAACTAAAGTAATGTACAACGAACTAGTGGAAAGAAAAGGCATTCTAATAAATAACACAACACTGGGTATAGAAGAATATTTATATTTGAGACAACTAATACACAGCTCGTGAACTCTACTATATCAGAAATCAACAGAAGAATTAAGTTAGCATGGAGTACTTATGAAAGAAACTCAATCATATTCAAATCTAAAATGCCACTCTATCTAAAGAAGAAAACATTCGACCAATGTGTACTAACAGTCATGACTTATGCATGCGAAACCTGGACACTTAAAACGGACATTATTAGGAAACTGCAGGTCGTACACGCTCAATGGAACGAAATATGCTAGGAACAACCAAGAGAGACCGTAAAAGAATATAGTGGATACGACCAAAGACCCAGGTAATAAATGTCATCCACAGAGTCAAATCCCTCAAATGGCAATGGGCAGGATACCTGGCAAGAAGAAAGGATCACAGATGTACCACAAAAATTACAGCATGGTACCACAAATCAATTGGTACCCACGAGGAATTAACAGACCTAGAAGAAGACCAAACCTGAAATGGGACTACGATATTAGGAAATAAGCAGAGATAATTTGCGCGTAGCCAACAAACACACAACCATGGGCCCAATTTTCTACAGAACACATCTACCACGTAAAGCGGGGTATTACTACATGTCCAGGGCCGGCGGAAGGGCTGGGCGACCCGGGCGGCCGCCCGGGCGCCGGATGCGGGGGGCGCCACGACAGTAACTAAAATATTTAAAAACAGTAATCTAAACAAGTAGTAACGAATAACCAGATCAATAATTAATTAATCGATACTATCAATTTCCACATTAAAATAGTAGCAATTACCACACCACATAGGGAAGAAATATCTGACTAAACATTATAAACACTACAATATCTTAGACATATCCTATTATAGTTTACTGAAATTATGCTCAAAAAATCCTTGGCGCGAAAGCTTTGTCATAGTTTTGATTTCTTCTATTCTATATGTTTTTGGGTGCTCTATTTTTTCGTGGAAGAATATTAAACAAAATAAAATAAAAACATGATTGTAAAATAAAAACATGATTTGTTCGTGGTATTTTGGTTATAACTCAAAAGCTAATAACTTTTTGTAAATAACAACCCTTCTTTCTATAATTCTTGTTTTTATAAGTTTTTAAACAAACGGTGGGCCAACAGCCAGCATATCTAATTGACAGTTATAGACTGACCGCTTAAAATCGCACTTTTTCTTCTTTCTCCTACCCACACCCTTTAATTGTTATTAATGGCTGATATGCCCTAAAATTATATGAGCCAAATATTCAATCGCAAGAAGCTGAAGAGGATCCCGATATTCTTATTATCAAAAAAAGCTTGCCTCATTAATTAAATTAATTTATTCACAGTAGTGGGAAAGATATCAATCTTTTGGTGATTTTGATTGTTCCGGATTGAATATGTTATAATACACGGAAAATGGTAGCAGAATCGTAGAATTTTCTCATTAAAGGAATCACACAAAAAAACACAAAGAAATGCATCTCAAACACTAGCTGATCCTAATTTTGAAGCCGAAAAAACTGTATAATATGATTATATACTTATTCTGCACGAAATAATTGATTGTGAAAAAGAAAAGAAAAGTTCTTATAGAAAAATAATGCAACTGCTTGCAACTAAATACTAATGTTTTCAAAGATCACTTATACCAGAACCAGAACGAGACTGCCGAAGTTGCAATCCTATTTCTTATAGCTCTATATACCGGGTGCATCTCAAAAGTGGCTCACCCCTATAAATTGTATATTTTTTCAGAAGAAAAATCGAGACTTGGTATGTGAGTATACGACATTAGGATTAATTGACATATTCATTTGTTTTTTGTCACTTCCTGTTTCACCGGAAATTACTACAACTTTTGATTTTTAAATGGCACTTTCGGTATATTTCTATTTTATGCGATAGAAAATGACACTCTGAATAGAATGACATATTATATGTCAACTTTTGACATTTTCGATTATGGCTTATTTGAAATTGTAACATGCGGTTCATAACAATTTGACTCGAAATACCAAGTGTGTAGTATCAAATTATTCGTAAAAAATGTTTTTTCCAAATATGCTAATGAGCCACCCTTGTTCCGTATGAAAAAATTGATATATAATTAAAAATACGATTTGAGAATCTTTTAACCGGCCAGAACAAGACACGAAAAACATTAAACTATCAAATCTATTTTTCCAAGTCTCCTTGTTTAAAAATTAGTGTTTTTAACACAGCCATGATGGCATTCTAGATTGAAATTTAAAATACGATTTTTTAAGCAAAAATATCAAAAGTTGACATATGATATACCATTCTACTCAGAATGTCATTTTTTATCGAATAAAGTAGAAACATACCGAGGGTGCCGTTTAAAAATCAAAAGTTTTAGTAATTTCCGGTGAAACAGGAAGGGACCAAAAACAACTGAACCCGTCAATCAATCCTAATTTATGTCATATACTAACATACCAAATCTTGTTCTTTTATCTAAAATAATAGTGGTAAGTCACTTTCGAGACGCACACGATGTAGAAAAAAACAACAACCGCCGAATAAGATTGAACGAAGAGGAGAATTTTGAAGAATCTTTAAGTGAAAGTATATTGTTATCCTGCTAAGCATATTTATATAAATATGCTTAGTTGTAGTTAAAGTATAGTATTGAAGGAAAGAGAGAGTTATAATAATTATTTGGTTTTAAAAACTAAGGGGGGGGGGCGCGAGATAGGGTACTCGTTTGGTCTCAATATTTCCCTTCCGCCGGCCCTGTACAGGGTGGATCAAATTCGACGCTTTTAAATGGAAACACCCTTTTCTATAGGAGATAGACGAAAACTAATATCGGTGTCTGGAGCTCAATTTTCATCAAAAACATGATGGTGAAAACCGCACATCAATATCTGTTACCGTTTCGGAGTTACGGGGTGTTTTTTCAAAAATGTGCATTTTTAACAAATCGCTGTAACTTTTTTGCTATGGAAAATTTTGTATTTCTATGAAAACTTTTCCAAAGTAACTTTTTACGTAGAATTTAATGGTTTAAGTATATTTTTTTCAAAATTAATAATTTAAAAGTTATCAACAGAAAAATTGATTTTTTATTTGGGACACCCTCTATATTTTTAATTAACTGAAAAGAATTTAAAATTACCTTTCCAAAAATATAGCATACTTGATATTTTGTTATAATCCCTTTCGAAATACAGAATTTTTAAAAGTTCGCCACTTTTAACTAGTAGGCTTTGGATCACTCATTGATGATATGCCCTTAATGGAACTCGAAAACATATTTTTCCAGCAAGACGACGCACCGCCTCTGAACGCTGAAGTTATCAGCAAATTTTTGCAGCCAATTTCAAGAATAATTGAATAGATAACCAAGATCCCAGCCGTTGGCCGTCGAGGCCGCCTTACTTAGTGCCCATGGATCTAATCCTATGGATATATTTGCGGAAGAATAAAGGTTCCTTATTCTTCCGTATAATCTAGACAACAATTAGAAATACTTAGCAGTTATGAGAGGGTATCTTTTACCCCCACTGAGTTGAAATCCGCGAGAAATGTTGAAAAACTGTCCCGTCTGTCCATAACAGAAGACGGTCGATATGTCGAACACCTGTAGCAAAATTTCATGTTTTGGTTTGCTATTTATTTTTATTGTTATTAGATATAGTTTAAATGTGTTGATGTTGGTTAAATATATTTTAAATTGTTATAAAATTCCGCATCTCTCATAGCAAATATTATTTTCGTTTTAATTGATGCTCACAGCTAGAATTTTTTTGCATTACAGCCGGTGCCGTTTAAAGCCTACTTACTTAAAGCGGGCGAATTTTTATATACTCTATATCTCGAAGAGGCATCGAGCAAAATATCAAGTGTGTTATATTTTTGGAAAGGTAATTTTATATTCTTTTCTATAAATTAAAAATATACAAGGTGTCCCATATAAAAAATCAAATTTTCTGTTGATAATTCTTGAATTATTAATTTAAAAAAAATTATACTTAAACCATTAAATTCTACGTAAAAATGTGCTTTGGAAATGTTTTCATAAAAATACAAAATTTTCCATAACAAAAAAGTTACAGCGATTTGTTAAAAATGCATATTTTTGAAAAACACCCCGTAACTCAGAAACGGTAACAGATATCGATATGCGGTTTTCACCATGCTTTTGACAAAAATTGAGCTCCAGACACCGATATTAGTTTTTGTCTATCTCCTATAGAAAAGGGTGTTTCCATTTAAAAGCGTCGAATTTGACCCACCCTGTACATGTCTATGCTAACGAGTATTAGCTAGAATAACAGTTTATTTGTAATCGTTGGATCTGAATTTTTATTGTATAAATTTACCTTTCTTTTAAGTGATATCACTTGCTCAACTTTGTCATTTGGTTTAATAATTGATTGGTTTGGTTGATCCAATACTAAAGTAGAATTCGCCTTCATTTTTTCAGCTAGTTTATTAACAAACATATTATAAGACTCGGGTAGTTTTGATATTGTGGCCACCTTTGGCTGAATTATAATACTATTACGAACTGGAATTTCCATATCTTCAGTATGCCTAGTGTTGCAATCAATATCGTCTTTAGCAATCTGTTTACGAGGTTCTGTTTGAGTAGACGAATTACAAAATTTCTTCAATAGCAGCGTCTTTTTCTTCATATTATTCGACTTTTGATGTATGTCACTGTCAAACATAAGGCATGACGTGTCGTAGTTTTCTTTCATTTCTAGGTGTTTCTAGGTAAAAAGGATAAACAGGTGCACCTACAGTAAACTTATTTGATTTTTTTATTTTCTCATGTACATTCCATAATTAACATACAAAATATGCTGAAAGTTAAAAATGATCGGCTTTAAAACCAACGAAAACTAAACATATTTATATTTCAAGTTTTAATATTCTTGACATCGTATACAGGGTGCTACAAATTCGAGGTACGAGCTTTGATATCTCGGTAACCGTAATAGATACGAACATGGTTAAATTGGGGCAAAGTTGTGCTTTGGGATGTTCACCAAGATGCCATCAAAAAAGTTTTAAAAATTTCAAGGATTGCTGAGTTTTTTGGGAAAAACTGATTTTTTTGAAAATCAAATTTATTTTTTTCTGTCGTTACCTTTTAGAAAATCAAAAAACTAATTGCACATTCTCATAGCCACTTTATTAGGGCTATCTGACAGTATTTTTAGATTTTCAAATTAGCTGATAATTTTTGAGATACAGAGGCAAACTTAATTTTTTTAAATGCGGACCTGCATTTTTGATTTTATATTTTGAAAGAACTCAGTCTTCTGAGTACAATGATATGCCACACTTAATATATTTTTTTTGTTTTGACATTTGAACACAATTTATTTAAACTAATTTCAAGTCCGGCTCTGTTTTTTTAATATATTTATTCTATTCATCGTTACAATATTGATAAACTTTCAAACTTAACAATGACGTGGTGTAAAACATTGAATACGGAAAATCAAATGCAATAAAATAATATAAAATATAATTAATATAAATATAACATTATAATATAAACAATCAAATCATTTTCCCGGAAGTTGTATTGGAAATGGTAGAGCAGTATAATGTCCAACGAGGTTCCTGGACCTATCGCCAAGTGGCTACTTTATTTGACATCATCTGTAAAAGTGAAATCAATTTATCTCAACATTTACAATAAAGAGTACAAAATGCTTTCAGAAATATAAGAAAAAAGGTCAAAGAGCTATAAATATAATTGAGCGAAAAATAAATTTGTGCAATAGGGAGGCCCTTTCGAACATGTAGAACATTAGAAACTAGTTTGTAGAAGTTGATTTATTTATAATAACTACGATTAATATTATGTATATTATTAGATCTCACACTGAGATTTCAAATTCACAATAAAAAAAATTAAAAATAATATCTTTAAATTTCTGACCTGGATATTATTTATTTGAATCTTCCAATTGGCTCAATTTTCCTTATTCAATGTTAATTAGCGCTGCTTAATATTGTTGCGATGAATATAATAAGATTAAATAATTTAAGAAACCAGAGTCGGACTTAAATTATTTTAAATAATAATTAAATAGTTTTGTTGCTGTTAAGGTATCCAGAACAAAATAAAAGTATAAAGTGTGGCATATCATTGTATTCAGGAGACTGAGTTCTTTCAAAATCTGAAATAAAAAGGGCAGGTCCGTATTTAAAAAAATTAAGTTGGTTTCTGTATCTCACAAATTGTCAGCTAATTTGAAAATCTAAAAATACTCTCATATTGCGCGTGCCTATGAGAATAAAATGGCTATGAGAATGTGCAATTCGTTTTTTGATTTTCTATAAACTAACGACAGGAAAAAATAAAATTGATTTTTAAAAAATCAGTTTTTTCCAAAAAACTCAGCAATCCTTGACATTTTTAATTTTTTTTTGATGGCATCTTGGTGAACACCCCAATACGCAACTTTGCCCCAATTTAACCATGTTTGTATCTATTAAGGTTACCGAGATACCAATGCTCGTACCTCAAATTTGTAGCACCCTGTATTTCCAACCCCATTGATCGAGCATTGGTCTGTTTTATAAGTGTTCGTCAAATTGTGGAAATGTCCACAGTTAGATTACTAAAGATGTTATTGTTAGTTGATATAAAAACGGCTTCTTTAAGTTTACTCTCTAATGAAGTTCCTGGTGGACGACTCGAGCTTCTGACCACTTGATATTTTGCTACTAGGGCTACACATGGTTTGCAACACCTGACTTCATTGTTCCATATCTTTGTACACAATTTTTGTGTTCTTAACGAACGTCATACATTTAGGGATGGTTTGTTTCTCCAATATGCGACCGCATTCACCTCGTAGTAGTACCTGCATGGTAAATACTCTAATACTCTTTTTTTCTTGTTTCGATATTCCTACTACAGAACCGGATTTTGGCGTTGCTTCTTAGCTTCAATCTACCGAGGTGTTCATTGAGAAGACAGTGTCCTGTTAAAAACGGGTGACAATGCAAAGATTGTCCTTCCTTAAATCAAGAAGTCTTCCCATTCTAGATTACGGACAGAGTCTTCCAGGTTCTTGAGTTCCGGTTTAAGTTGGTTCCCACTTGAGAAACAGAACGGTTCTGGTCCACTCAGTGGAGTGTTCGCTTTTTTTCTAGCTAGATCATTTGCTTTTTCATTACCTTCTATTCCTTGGCACCCGGATTGGAAAGCTTTATTTTTTTGCGTAATTTGATCAGCTTCTCTAGGCATTCTTTGCACCAACTTCAAATTGATGGTTATTGTTACAGTTGAGGGTTGGAACCTTTGGTATTACACAGCAAAATAAAACACTAAATCACCACAATATACCAAACACTTTTATTTTTACACTGGACGCGCGTTTCGCTAACCATGTTAGCATCATCAGCATATGATTATAAACTAAAATACAATCTACAATTGGAGCGTTTATATACTCGCTCAGTGGGCACAGAGTGGGCGTGGCAAGATCTAGCCAACCGAGTCAGAACCCACCGAGCGTAACAGTTAGATTTCCGCCACTAGAGTAGTAGGAACAAAGAACTAAAAGGAATTGGGCCGTTGTCTCTGTTCCAAAGACATTATAAAGATAGACCGAACATCTCATTCATAAAGACTCGTTGGTAGTGTATCAAACATTCCAATGTGTCAAACAAAGACAGAAGAGACAGAGAAGTCTAAAATTTCCGACCCCGGCAACCGAGCCGGCAACTAGGCGCATTTGGATTGTTCTCATGGCCAGTGGCGTATCGTTTTTTAGAACGAATTTAATTAGTAAAGTAAAAGTAAAGTAATTAGTAAAATTTTTACTCCATATTAATATACTACATTAACACTTTTTCGTTAGATGAGTTTTGTTATAAGGTCTAATATAATGATATAATTAATATCCCACATATACTTATGTTGAAACGTTAGTAGGTAGTTTTCGAAAATCGCTCCAACGTCGATATTCAATTTAAACTTTCAGTTACTTCTATATAAACTTTCAGTTACTTTTGAATATTTACAGGGTGACTCAGGCTTCTGAAACAGTTCTATATTAGGTTTGTGGTTGGTGACTTTTCTTTCAATTTGTTTTTTAGAACATGGAGGCAATAGTAAAGCACATTTTAGACATTTTTGTAATCATAGGTGGCCGGAACATATTTTCAAACTAAAGTTGCAGATTTGCCATTAAATTTCCATTCCAGAAATACCTAGGGTTGCCACCTGTCCTTTTTGAAAAGGGCAGTCCTTTTTGGAATAACTTGTCCTTTTGACTTTTTTGACTTAAAAGTCATTTTTTATTTACGTATTTTCCCTGGGAGAAGAAGAGAACTTAGAACTTCCCGTTTAATCTCTGAGAAAATTACCTACAGCAAACAGAAATATTCTTTTCGTCCAAATTTAATTAGAGGTGTTATAAAACTTATAAATAAATTTTTCTTGTTTAGAATAGGCAACATTATTTTATTATATTATTAACTTCCCGTTTAATCTCAATGATAGTTTAGGTTTTAGTTTTACCTTTTTTTATCTTAAAAAGAACTTTTCAAAATTAGTAATTAGTAACGATTTAGTTAGTTCGCAATCGATAGCTTCCTGTGAAGTACTGTGTAATAGTTGTTTAATCTTGTATTATTAATAACTTCCTATACCTAAAATCAATATTTATTTTAATGAGAAAATTGTGTTTTTTTGAAAATATAAGACAAGATTTGACTTTCGGTCTTCTTCTCGTATTATGATGGCTCTGATACGAGGCAATTACCTTTTAGTCTCTCAATAGAGGACATTTATCATTAAAAGTATCAAATCTGTGTGCTACAGTATGGGATTTCTGTCGCATAATAATGAATATTACGTTTATTTACAAATCCATTACTTAGGTAGCTTAATCAGACAATCAAATTTTAGTTAAACGTCCCAATCTTCATGAACTGTATTAAGCATATGTATTGCGGTTTGAATCACCCCTGTATGTTGACAAAAAATATTTTGAAAATGTGCGTTACAATGGCCCCGATCTTATGTAAAGATTGAAATAAAAATCACAAACCAAAAACGTAATAGGTAAAAAGCTTTTTTTGGAGGCCTGGGTCACTCTGTATATAGGTATGTATAAAACTAGTAGCCTAAGAATTATTTACAGTTCGTCCCATTCTAAAAAAGGTAAACACACCGTAAAAAATAACTCTAGGAAGAGGTATTTGTATTGTACGGTGGTAAAAACTTGTCTAAACAAGACCGAAGGGGCAGATATAAGATATAATAAAGCAATAAAATGTAAAAAGGACGGGTAAACACCTTTGTTTATTTGTTGAGCAAAATCCTTTAAAATATCGTATATAATGACCAAAATATGACGCAATTTAAAAAAAATGTCACTTTCTGGCATATAATAAAGTTTCAAATATTTGCAACGTTTATATTCAAATTTGTTATGATCTACAACAGTTGGGTAGTAATTGAGACGAATTATAATTCAATTACCGGCTACTACGTTCTTGTTTTAATAGATCAAAATTCAACAAATATAATTAGAAATTATTTTAATTGTGAGAGGCTCCCTGTGGGACGCCTATGTACGATTACGGCGGAAACAATACCTACCTGTGAAAAGACAAATTCGGGTAATTTGAGCTTAATTTTCCACACATTTGACACTGTCCTACCATATTGAAAATTCGCAGATTCAAAAGTATGTTAA